TGGACTGCACTTGTCCAGGTGTCCCTGTGATGGACTAGACCTGTCCAGGTGTGTCTGTAAAGGACTGGACTTGTCCAGGTGTGTCTGTAATGGACTGCACTTGTCCAGGTGTCCCTGTGATGGACTAGACCTGTCCAGGTGTGTCTGTAAAGGACTGGACTTGTCCAGGTGTGTCTGTAATGGACTGCACTTGTCCAGGTGTCCCTGTGATGGACTAGACCTGTCCAGGTGTGTCTGTAAAGGACTGGACTTGTCCAGGTGTGTCTGTAATGGACTGCACTTGTCCAGGTGTCCCTGTGATGGACTAGACCTGTCCAGGTGTGTCTGTAAAGGACTGGACTTGTCCAGGTGTGTCTGTAATGGACTGCACTTGTCCAGGTGTCCCTGTGATGGACTAGACCTGTCCAGGTGTGTCTGTAAAGGACTGGACTTGTCCAGGTGTGTCTGTAATGGACTGCACTTGTCCAGGTGTCCCTGTGATGGACTAGACCTGTCCAGGTGTGTCTGTAAAGGACTGGACTTGTCCAGGTGTGTCTGTAATGGACTGCACTTGTCCAGGTGTCCCTGTGATGGACTAGACCTGTCCAGGTGTGTCTGTGATGGACTGGACTTGTCCAGGTGTGTCTGTAATGGACTGCACTTGTCCAGGTGTCCCTGTGATGGACTAGACCTGTCCAGGTGTGTCTGTAAAGGACTGGACTTGTCCAGGTGTGTCTGTAATGGACTGCACTTGTCCAGGTGTCCCTGTGATGGACTAGACCTGTCCATGTGTCCCTGTGATGGACTAGACCTGTCCAGGTGTGTCTAAAGGACTGGACTTGTCCAGGTGTGTCTGTAATGGACTGGACTTGTCCAGGTGTGTCTGTAATGGACTGCACTTGTCCAGGTGTCCCTGTGATGGACTAGACCTGTCCAGGTGTGTCTGTGATGGACTAGGCCTGTCCAGGTGTGTCTGTAAAGGACTGGACTTGTCCAGGTGTGTCTGTAATGGAATGGATTTGTCCAGGTGTGTCTGTGATGGACTGGACTTGTCCAGGTGTCCCAGTGATGGATTAGACCTGTCTATGTGTGTCTGTGATGGACTAGACCTGTCTAGGTGTGTCTGTGATGGGCTAGACCTGTCCAGGTGTGTCTGTAATGGGCTAGACCTGTCCAGGTGTGTCTGTAATGGACTGGACCTGTCCAGGTGTGTCTGTAATGGACTGCACTTGTCCAGGTGTCCCTGGGATGGACTAGACCTGTCCAGGTCTCTCTGTGATGGATTAGACCTGTCCAGGTGTGTCTGTGATAGACTGGACCTGTCCAGGTGTGACTGTAATGGACTGGAATTGTCCAGGTGTGTCTGTGATGGACTAGACCTGTCCAGGTGTGTCTGTAATGGACTCAACTTGTCCAGGTGTGTCTGTGATAGACTAGACCTGTCTAGGTGTGTCTGTGATGGACTAGACCTGTCTAGGTGTGTCTGTGATGGGCTAGACCTGTCCAGGTGTGTCTGTGATGGACTGGACCTGTCCAGGTGTGACTATAATGGACTGGAATTGTCCAGGTGTGTCTGTGATGGACTAGGCCTGTCCAAGTGTGTCTGTAATGGACTAGACCTGTCCAAGTGTGTCTGTAATGGATTCGACTTGTCCAGGTGTGTCTGTGATGGACTAGACCTGTCCAGGTGTGTCTGTAATGGACTAGACCTGTCCAGGTGTGTCTGTAATGGACTACTAGACCTGTCCAGGTGTGTCTGTGATGGACTGGTAAAGCCTCCATCTTGGATGTTTTTGTTAATCAGTTTTTGACATGGACCCAGGTCCACTCTGGTTCTGAACAGTCCGGTCAGGAACTAAACCAGGACTGTAGAGGAGCCGTGTYGACCCGTGGACCAGCTGTTGACCCTCACTAAGGTCCAGGATTMTTGTCCCCCTTACTAAGAACCGTTTAGTTCCTGTACAAGAGGGACGTAGGTTCTGTCCTCACCTGGAGGTTTGAGTCTCAGCAGGACGGGTCAGACTCACAYACAGGCTCAGACCCTGGGGGACAGGCAGGTCATCTGGATCCCTTCTGGACACCTCCCTGTGGTGGACATGTCTTTGAGGAGTAGTTCCTCTTCCTCACTTCAGGATCTTAGATTTAATTCTTCGTCTTGTGGAGGCCTGCGTTAGAATAGAAGACGTTTGCAGATCACTCTGTGTAGACGTGGGGGGTGGGGGGCTCAGTGGGAGTGTGTGTGTGTGTGTGTGGGGAGGGGGGTAAGAAGAGCCTTCTTTTAGTTGGGGGTTTCAGTCGTTTATCTTGTATCCTCTGACGCTGGTGAAGCGTTGATCCATATTCAGCAGACTCTAATGACTCTCAGTCCGTCTTCTCGTGGCGAGCTGAACCTTGAAACAAACACAAAGAGCTCGAAGCGCCATGAAGACGCCGCCGAGGCCGCAGAGCCTCAAAACTCCGACCCCTCCATCAGATCCTCTACATCAGATCAGAAAACACAACGCTTCACTTTGACATTTTCATCTGCAACGTTTCTCCTTTTCTTCAAGTCATCACTTTTTTTTTTGCAGAGGCGTCGGAGCAGTCTTTTCTATTTTTCTTTTTTTTTCCGGAATAGAAATTGAATTTGCATGAAATATGCTCGCACCAAATTGCATCTGACTCGGGGAGYAGGTAATACGCTGTGCTCGCTCCTGCCAGGAGTGATTGTGCTCAGGAAAAAACGCGAGACGATGATGAGGATGTTGATGAAGTATTCTTCTGCGCTGAAATGGAACGGCGAGCGGGCGGAGGACGGTTTTTACACCTGATGTTTCCTGCCGGAGACGGTCCTGATTGTTGCTCTGCGGRTCCTTCTGATCCTAACAAATGTTCAAAACACAAACTCAGCAGATCTTTGCTGAAGCAAAGACTGARGTTAAAATAAAACGCTGAGTCAGCATTCACACTATTGTTTTATACGTTTTCTATAATCTAACTACTTCTGTATAGATTCTTCTATGTCAGATGGTCGTATAAAACCTTCGGCACATTTAGGTCATGCTGCTTCTTAACTTTTACCATTTTCTAAAAATTTAACTGTATTTACCGTTTTTCTCAGATTTCTTCTGTTTCTTTAGAAACTCCTTCAGCTGCTACCTCTGATTTTGTTTTCTTTTGCTACTTTTAGCTTTTAGTTCATTTTTAACACTAGATTTTTGGCTAGCATTTGCTATTTTTAGTTTAAGCTAGTGTTTTGGTACTTTTATTTTTTTAGTTAACAATGCTGCTTTTAGCTAGAGCTTTGGTACCATTAGCTAGTTTCTTGCTACTTTTAGCCAGTGTTTTGGTATGCTTAGTTTGTAGCTAGCTATGCTGCTTTTAGCTAGAGCTTTAAATTAGCTAGTTTCTTGCTACTTTTAACCAGTGTTTTCTGTTAGTGAGWCTTTTGCTAGTTGTAGCTTTTACCAATCATTTTATCCATTTTAGTTTGTAACTAAATATACTTTTTGCAGTCTGTGATTTGGTACTTCTAGCGAGTTTCTTGCTCCATTTAGCTTTTAGCAGTTTTTGCCACTGTTATTGTGGGGTTTAACTATTCTTTTGTTGCTAACCTTTTGATACATTTAGCAATGAACTTGACTTTGCTACTTTTAGTTTTAAGCTAGTGTTTTTGGGACTAGTTTTTAGTTATGCTACATTTAGCTATGGTAGCTACGTTTAGCCACTTGTTTTGGTTTTTAGCTAGTCCTTTTACTTTTTTGTAGTGTTTTGGTCCTTTTAGCTTGCAGACATTGTTTGGTACTTTTATCTAGGTCCTTGCTACTTTTTTCTTTTTTAGCTTTTAAGTAGTGTTCTGCATTGTTTCAGCTTCTTTATCAGATTTCAGCTCTTAGTCATTTTGTATTCTGACAGAAACCGCCTGTTTATTATTAATTTTTTTATGAATAAAGTATTTTATACACAGGCTGGAGTAGTCTTGTTCTCAGAAGAAATGTTCAGGCTCATGTTAGCACACTAATGCTAATAAAATAAGTTACCTGCTACCTGCTGTTAACAGGTGTGTAGAAAAAAGTACCCCTACTGTTAAAAGAAGCTCATCATCGGGCATGTGGCAAACCAGTTTATCATATAATCGATCCTTGAAGCAGATATTTATAATTTAATTACTTTTGGTCAAATATTTCATCCGTTTGTCCCATCCACAAACATTTAGATATATTTAAAAAAATTAAGACACTCGTTATTTAATGACTTTCAGCTTCAGTTCTTTCTGAACATATTTTAAAATACATTTTTTATTGATCCAAACTGGCATTGGATTAGATTTAGATGTAGACAATAAAGAGTAATAAACCACAAGATTTTTTATGAATTATGGTTAAAAATGACGATAAAGAAGGTAAGCGGGGGCCCCGTGCTTGTGTGGAGCCCAGGGTCGCAGAATTTTAAAATCCACCTCTGGCTTACTGCAAAAAAATTAAAAATAACAACTAAAAACAAGAAAAACGTTAATAAACTTAAATACTATTAAAGATTCAGTTTCTTTCTTATGACCAGTGGAGAAAAACAGATTTATTTAGTTGTTTTGATGTTTTTAAAATGTTTTCTAAACGTGTTTAAAGTTGCTGACTCGTGTTTCCTGTTGAAGGCCGTCTGTTCGGAGCAGCAGCAGATCAGCCTTTCATCGGCTCCACGTTGTCAAGTGCCTTCCCTCTGGTCAACCACCCAGCCTTCGGAGCCCTCTACACCACCGGGACGGGCCGGCCCGAGTTCGGGGGCCTGGGCTCCATCGGGATGTCGGCCGTTCTGGCTGCCCACCCGCAGTTAGGAGCCCTGTCCGGTAAGAAGACCGGTTCTGAGATCTGACCGGTGAAACTGAGCGTCTTTTTTTAAAACTTGTTTTATCCTTCCCTGTCCTCTCTGTCCTTTCTGTCCTCCTCTGTCCTCTCTTTCCCC